TATTTGTTAATTAAAAACAGGCTTTCTGGGTAGAGTTACCAATTTCCTCCTCTGGCTGCATAGGGCTGTGCAAGGAGACACTGGGGGATTGACGGTTTTGTAAAATAGTTTGCTCGTTCAGTTTGGAAAAAAAGCCCCTGGTGGGTCATCTCCCCACATCCTGGCAGGTCTGATTCATTCTCCTAAGACATCCTGGAGAGATCCGTACCTGGCTTTCCCTTGGAGATTTCCAGTGAAGGTGACTGCTGCAAACCTCCAGCGTAGCCTGTTTCCCCAGCTAATTTAATGACCCTGTGCTCACACAGACTCATTTCCAAACAGATTTAAATAAGTAGCTCTTAAAGAAGCATTTGTGTCCCCAAGTTGAGGTCATGAGTCTGAGGGAAGCTCACCTCCATCCCATGTTAATATTAGCAGTAATAAATGAACAGTGTGTAGATGAAGTTACAGCTGGGAGCAAACTGAAGCTGCTGGCTTAAATAGTGCTGTTAGGTGCAATTATTCTGCCCTAGGCTGGGCAGTCTGTGGTTCTTGGTAGCTTCCCAGGAACTGTCTCCATGACAGCTGTGAGAAGCAGTAATGACAAGATTTCAGATGTCCCCCACTAAATACTGCGAGGAGTGTGTCTTGGGATGATGCCCTTTATGATGTACCAGGATCTTGGATCCTGTGAGTCTTACGTCTCTGTTTCTCCTGTGGAGCACACCTTCTCCTGAGTTCATCATGATCCACCAACCCACCAACCTGCTCCAGGATCCCTCACAGCTCCTTCCAGGAGGAATTATTTAGCCTTAGAAGCAGGAAAGGCACATTGCTCCTGATCTACTGCTGGATCAAGCTGGCTCTGGGTGGTAACCTCAAATGTCCCTTCCTCTGTGACACTGAGGAAACAGCTCATGGAGATCTAAGATATCCGTGACATTTGAAAAGTCCTGGCAGTCCGGTGAAGTCCTTGGAGACTGGAAAAAGGGGAACATTGCACCCATTTTAAAAAAGGATAGAAAGGAGAACACTGGGAACTACCGACCTGTCAGTCCCACCTCTGTGCCTGGGAAGACCATGGAACAGATCCTCCCAGAAACTACACTAAGGCACATGGAGGACAGGGAGGTGATTTGAGACAGCCAGCATGGCTTCACCAAGGGCAAGTCCTGCCTGACCAATCTAGTGGCCTTCTAGGATGGGGTGACCACATCAGTGGACAAGGGAAGAGCTACTGATGTCGTCTATCTGGATTTCTGTAAGGCCTCTGATACGGTCCCCCACAACCTCCTTTGCTCTAGATTGGAGAGAGATGGATTTGATGGGTGGGCTGTTGGGTGGATGAAGAATTGATTGGATGGTCACACCCAGAGGGTAGTGGTCAATGGCTCAATGTCCAGATGGAGACTGGTGAGGAGCGGTGTTGCTTGGGGTCTGTCTTGGGACCAGCACTTTTTAATATCTTCATCAATGACATAGACAGTGGGATCGAGTGCACCCTCAGCAAGTTTTCAGAGGACACCAAGCTGAGTGGTGCAGTTGACACACCTGAGGGACAGGATGTCATCCAGAGGGAGCTGGACAAGCTCGAGGAATGGGCCTGTGTGAACCTCATGAGGTTCAATAAGGCCAAGGGCAGGGTCCTGCACCTGGGTTGGGGCAACCCCTGGTATCAGCACAGGCTGGGGGATGGAGGGATGGAGAGCAGCGCTGCCGAGAAGGACTTGGGGGTACTGGTGGGTGAAAAGCTGGACACGAGCCGGCAATGTGCACTCGCAGCCCAGAAGACCAACCGCGTCCTGGGCTGCACCCAAAGCCGCGTGGCCAGCAGGGCGAGGGAGGGGATTCTGCCCCTCTGCTCCGCTCTGGGGAGACCCCCCTGCAGTGCTGCGTCCAGCTCTGGAGCCCTCGGCACAGGAGAGACATGGACCTGCTGGAGCGGAGCCAGAGGAGGCCGCCAAAACGCTCAGAGGGCTGGAACAGCTCTGCTGGGAGGACAGGCTGAGAAAGTTTGGATTGTTCAGCCTGGAGCAGAGAAGGCTCCAGGGATCCCTTCTTGCAGCCTGCCAGGACTGAAAGGGGCTGATAAGAAAGATGAGGACAGACTTTTTAGCTGGGCCTGTTGTGGTAGGACAAGGGGTGATGGCTTTAAACTAAAATAGGGCAGATTTAGAACAGATCTACGGCAGAAATTTTTGACAACAAGGGTGGTGAACCACTGGTCCAAGTTGCCCAGAGAGGTGGTTGATGCCCCATCCCCGAAACCATCACACGTCAGGTTGCATGGTGCTCTGAGCTATCTGCTCTAGCTGCAGATGTCCCTGCTCACTGCAGGGGGGTTGGACTAGATGGCCTTGAAATGTCCCTTCCAACCCAAACTATTCTATGATTCTGTAAGAGTTGGCTGTATGGGTTGTACACCAAAATAGTACCAGTAGCACCCTGGGTGCAGAAAAGCAAGTCCATGAGGAAGTGTGGTGTGAAGAGAAAGTGAGCAGCATCCTCCTCCTGGTTGTAGCAGAGCAGCTTGGAGCCATGGTGACGAGGATAGGACCAAGGAATAACATGGCCATTTTGTCATCATGTGCCCAAAAGCAGATTGTTCCCATCCCCGTTAGTGAAACAGTGGCATTAATGAGAACAAACCGGTGATAATGGGGAGGGGAAGAAAATTAGACTGTCAATATCCTCTTTATGGAAATAATCTCACAGGTTGTTAGTCACAAAGGGCTGGCTTCGCCCCTCTAATTTTCTCCTGTACGTGGGCTTTCATGTTCCTCTCATCACCTTAGCAGCTGAGTGCCTGCACCGTGTGCAGAGGAATCACAATTAAGCAAAGTGGCTGGATGTCATGATATATGGGACTACATCTCTGCTTCAGCAGCACAGAAAGCTAGCGAAAAGCTGAGATTAAACACTGGGTTAATTAGTACATTTAATTAGCTCTCAGTTATTAAATCCTTTCAGACCCTTAGATAAATTGCTCAAAGTACAAAACATTCCTTAGAAATGCTATTATTTATTCCTCTCTTATTTCTCCACATGTGGGCAGGGCTGGGAAGCTCTAGCTTTCCTCCTGCAGCTTCATGCAGGAACAGAGTCCATCCTAGCCTCAATGGCCCAAAGTCTGTCCTTGCGATTACCCTTGCATTTGCAAGCCTGCCAATTTCCAAATTCACACTTCCTCTGAGAAGGGAAGAGGCAGTACGCTGCTAACATGGGCAACAGTAGGAGGAAAGGGAATAGTGTTGGAAAAAAGCAGGGAGCAACAGCTCCTCTTAACTCTGAGAGACAGAAACAAATTCACAGAGGTTTGGTGTGGACTTAAGTCACCCAGCAGTGTGTCCCTTCCTGTGCTGTCTTCCTCTGTGGCTGCAGCAGACAGGCATGGCAGCCCTGCAGCAAAAAAGAGCAGAAATGGGTGGAGAAACTTCTCACACAGGCTTTGGAGCATTGCCAGTCACCATGACAGCTAGATTGAGGGACAGGAAAAGCTCCTCCAGGCTCCTGTGAGCAAGGTCTCCCAGGTTCGTCCCCCTGATGACTTTCCTGCAGTTTCCATGTTCATCCCAACAGTTCGTGGATGCATCTCTGATCTGAAGTCCTGGAGTAGCTGCCAGCCTGCTCCTCCTCCTCATTTCCAAGTGATCCTGTGCTAACCCACCACACAGAGCTGCTAAGATCCATGAGGTCGGCTGAGCTTCAGAGAGCCCGTGGCAGCCCTGCCAGAGGTAGGGAATTTATTTATGGCAGGGTAAATCCGTTTCTGAGATGACCTTGGAGACCTATCCAAAGCATTTATCACTTGGATGATGTGGGGCCCTGAACAACACAGGTGCGACAAGCTCTGGCTCTAGGCAGGCTGGAGAACTGGCTCCTATAGAGTCAAATCTGTAGGCTGTTCTCATTGTAGTTCACTGGAAAACTGATGTTTGGGTCTAAGGAAGGGGATCTCAGCATTTTCAGCACAAAGCCTTCTCTTGTTCTAGTTGTGATGGTGGGTAAGGAATTCAAGTCCTCCTGATGCTGGTGACCTGAAGCCATAGGCCAAGTATTAATGGGAGCAAAGGGCTACAGGGGATGTGACTTGCTTAAGGGAGTTTGCTTAGGAAAAAATAATAGTACAGAATTAAGCTGAGGGATATTCCTCATTGCACCATGAAAGGTATCACACAACGATGACTTACCCAGTACTGGTTTGTGATTCTAATAATCTTAAATTACTAGAAAGGAGAAATCAAAGGCTAGGATAAGATGATGTTACTCAGCAAACTAATATTTTGAGAACAAGAATGCAGCTTTCTGGAAGATAATGTTCTTGCTTTTTTCAAAGTTTCAAAAGTGCAGTTTCAAAAGAAACATATTTAATACTTCTATAAATAAGTATGAACGTATCTGCTTCTAGAGTCTACAAAATATGTCTGCAACAAAGCAATGTGGAGACATTTGGGAATGAAGTAGCTAATTTTATACTCATAAGAAACCATAACCATCGCCTAGGACTGTATCTCAGAGGACTGGGCTGACCTTTCAGCATCTGATGATAGTTGTAAAATGGCTCCTCATCACTGAAAGCCCAATCTAAGATCAGTTAAAATAAATTAAAAGCTATCACTGGCTTCTGTGGATATTGAATTAGACCATATAAAACCCACTTGAATGCTGGGAACCCAAGGAAATTATCATGGTAAATCTAAATTCTAGTGAAGCCTTACAGGCTTTAAAACATCTCTCTGCAGCCCCATTAAAAGAACGGGTTTCTACTTAGCCCATGAATAATTCGCCTTTATTTTTCTTCTGAGAGATGACAAGTCCCACCACGATGAAGCCTCAGCCCAGCAAAAAGCCCAGCATTCCAGTCACCTTCTTGCTCTTGTTGGAAGAGCAGTCCAGAGAGTAAAGGCCCAGGCTAGATATTGCTTTCCCCCAAAATATCTTTTCTAGTTTCCTGCTGTCCCCATAGAGCTAGAAGCAATTCTCCTCAAGACTTTCTGATCTCCCCATTTCCAGTTGCTTACCCCAGGCCATGGTGATGGGCACTGGCAGGCTGATATGCTCCACCTGGCAAGCATAGATAAACCCTTGCTTAGGCATGACTTCCAAAGTGACCAGAATCTGGAAAGACTAATCTCCATCTAGGAGGCAGTTCTCGTACACAACTTTGTCCATCTCCTCCTGCCTGTTTTTGAGCCACTTGATCTTCATTTCAGAAGGATAAAACCTTGTTGCAGAACAAACCAGCTAGCCCCCATGGCTCCATTTGCATGGGAGAAATTTTCACTCTGCGTTTAACTGAAAGTGAGAAAGAGAGAGATGGAGAGTGTTGGCCAATCCTCCTCAGGAATCATTCCTAGCAACAGGACCTATTGGACATTTATTTAGTCTGGAGAAGAGGAAGCTGAGGGGAGACCTTATTTCTCTCTACAACAGCCTGACAGGAGGTTGTAGTGAGGTCAGTGTCATTCTCTTCTCCCAAGAAACTAGCGATAGAAAGAGAGGAAATGGCCTCAAATTACACCAGGGGAGGTTTAGATTGGATATTAGGAAAAAATTATTTACTAAAAGGGTGGTCAAGCATTGGAACAGGCTGCCCAGGGAAGCGGTGGAGTCACGATCACTGGAGGTGTTCAAAAACCTGTAGATGAGGCACTTTGGGACATGGTTTAGTGGGCATGGTGGTGTTGGGTGGGCGGCTGGACTTGATGATCTTAAAGGTCTTTTCCAGCCTTAATGATTTTATGATACTATGGTATCATGCGGATTTTGCCTCCAAACCCATTTGTCCAGACCCACTGATTTCAACATGCCCTCGCATTACATGTCTCCCAGCCACATTAATCTTTAATCCTCTTTCTTTCTTCCCTCAGTCCTTCCAGTGAAGGACCATCACAGAAAAAGAACTCTGCATCTACCAGAAACATCTAACAGGAGCATCTCATACCTTCTGCCATCTGTCAGCTAAGTCCATTGCTCCAGGAATTGGCAGGAGCTACATTTGTTAGGCTTGGGAGTCCTGTCACATGCTTTTCCACAGGGCTCCTGCAAGTCATTTCCCTCAGTCTTAGACTCATAACAAAGACACTAACTGCTCAGGTCCATAGAACTCATTCTCCCCATGCCCTACTGAACTCAGACCTAGCTCCCACTATTCACCAAGCTCCTCTGACATCCAGTGGCTGCCAAATGGGGAGGTGGCAGAGAGGGTTAAATGTGGTCCCAGGCTGGGGAAGCCAAGTTTCCCCATGGCACGCTCCTCTTATCCTCCCCTCCAAACACTCACTTCTGTCCATTGTACACTGAGTCCTCCTCCAGTTATAGCTGCAGTATTTCTCCCTTGAAGCCCACAGACAGCTAAGCCACTGCAGCCTGTTCCAATACTCAGCAATTGCCCATCCCAGCTCTATGCAGGCCACATAGAAACCCACCTTACTATTGTAGGAACAGATCTCCTGCTAGTCCCAGATGAACCCGTCCAGGTACATCACCTGCTGAGTGCCATTCGTGTAGTGACACTCCTGTTTTCATTGCAGCAGGAAATGCTCTTGGGGGAGACACATGGGACAAGGTCAGGATGGACATCTTGCTGCTGCTTTCCCTTGTTCCTGAATATCCAGGATCTCTGCCTACCCGGAGTATGTGCATGAAGAGCCATAGAATCATAGAATGGTTTGGGTTGGAAGGGACCTTAAAGGTCATCTAGCCCAAACCCTCTGTCATGGGCAGGAACACCTTCCACTAGACCAGGTTGCTCAAAGCCCCGTCCAACCTGGCCTTGAACAATTCCAGGGATGGGGCATCCACAGCTTCTCTGGGCAACCTGTGCCAGTGCCTCACCACCTTCATTGTGAAGAATTTCTTCCGTATATCTAATCTAAATCTACCCTTTTTCGGTTTAAAGTCATTACCTTGCCCCTTGTCCTATTACTACACGCCCTTGTAAAAAGTCCCTCTCCAGCTTTCTTGTAGGCTCTCTTCAGGTATGTTGCTCCTCACCCCTATCATCATGGCCGGACCCACAATCCAGGAGGTTTTGAACCCAGGAAAAAACAGAGAAGCTATTGTTGCTCAGGTGAGGGCAAAGAAAAAAAAGCTTGGAGAGAGAGCTAGACTGCTAACAACCACATCTCAGGTCAAAGTAGGACCTCAGCAACACTCTGAGTGGAGGAACTTGAGGAAGTTCCCAAACACTGAGGGGACTGGACAGCCCCTCACTACAGATCGACTCAGTACCAGTATTGGGCCACAACAATAGTAACAGGCAGGAAAGGGTTCAATTTCTGCCTTTCACTAGAATCTTTTCTGGAGGAATGCAGAATAAAGGTTTCACCAGCAGACACCACAAACGAGCAGTATCAGAGCAGAACAGTCAACAAAGCTGCTCAGACACTGCTGTACAACTCCTGGGACTCCATCCTTGGGGTGTTATCTTTGGGCTGGCTCCTTCCTGGGATCAAGGAGTGCTCTCAGAGGACTGTGAATACAGCCTAACCTCAGCAGAGCAAGCTGGTAGAGCGTCTATGAGCATTGTGTTTACTCACCCGCCGACCTGGGCAAAGAGTGGCACCATGAAACTGGCCCTGTCACAAAACCTAAGGTCAGCCAGGCCAAGTCATGTGTTATCCTCTGCAGAAGGACAGGATCTTCCCTTTTCTTTATCTGCTGGGAAACATAAAGAAAAAATCTAAGGACATGTTAAGGAGCAGGTGTTGTATCTGCTTCGGTTTTGTTTTCAGCAAAAGGTTCAGAAAAAAAAAAAAACCTGGAAGTTGAGACAGAAAGAATGAAATATCTAAACTAGTGGTTTGCTTAGGGAAAATCAACTTTATTTACTGGAAGGAATGTGTTATATATTGTATCTCATTTCATTGGAAAGTTAGTGCTGTAAAACAAAGAAATACAAATCCTTTACTTTGGAATAAAGACAAATGTGCTTTCAGGTTGCCAAGATATCACTGAAAAAAAGACCAGCACTTTCTAATCACAGTGTCTGCATTCCTACATCTAAGACACAGCAGGATGTTGACTATCTTGTGCATCTAAGTTTCAAACTAGGACCTTTAAGGACACCAAAGGGCATCCACTGATACAGTGAGAAGACTTTATAACTGTGGGGAGTCTGTCAGATTGAAGAACTGCTTATTATCTACAGGTTAACAAGGATTTATCTGCCTTACTCTTCTTCCTTTTGGGAGGACACGCTTATCCCCTGCATGGATACTCCTTTACCTGCCCAGAAAGCACTATGTCGAACTTCAAGCAGAAGGTACAAGTTGATCTCCCGGCAATGCAGTCAAAAGGATGCTGGACTTTCTGGGCATGGTCAGGACTCCAGATCAGAGGTCCATGAACAGTGGACATTACTGCTGATAAAAGCCTTCACTGAAAGAGCCCTCAAAATCAGAAAGAAATGCCACTGCTGGGAAATACATCTTCAAGGCTCTCAGAAGGAGAGATGGAAAAGATTTGCACATGCCCAGCCCCAAGGGGAGAGTTTTTCTGTAACAGCATCTCCAATTCCAAACTATGTGGACAAATCAGGTTCGTGTCATCAGACACCTGACAGATGACAGTCATCTTGGAGGAGGCAAGATTTGATTTCTAGCTTCGTACCACTCCCACCCTGTTCCTTGCCTTCCTTAAGAGTCCCACTCGCTGGCCAGATCTGGAGGATATGAGGCTAAAAGCCTCCGAATTAGAAGGGAACAAGGACAGATTCACTTCAGAGCAGGACAGCATGGAGCTTTTCCTCCTCCATCCGCTGGAAAGGACAAAGTGAAGGAACAGAAAGAGGTAGAGGGCATGGGTGAGGAGGCTCCATGTGGAGACAGTCTGGACATAAAGCACCAGGCTGAAACATCTGCAGAGGAGGCATTTCAGAGCACTTCTCCTGCCAGGTGAAGGCTGGGCATTGCTATATGGATGATGCCAAGGAGGTGATGCCCTACAAGCATAAAGCTGATTCTTCACACCCACCCAAAAACTGACAAAAACTGTTTGTAAGCCCTTTCCCACCACTGCTCCATGCTTTCTCCGCAGCCCCCAAACCCAGCCGTAAGTAGAGGAGAATCTTTATTTCTCATCATCCTTTAAACCTCCCTCCCTGCAAACACCCTGACCACCAGCTTCCTGCCTCCCAGCCCAGACTTACCTGATCCACAAACAGCACCAGTGCCCTCTGGAGAGCTTTTAGAATAGCTCTGCTCTGCAGGGAAAGAAACAAAATATACATTCAGAAACTGCCATGTCTTTGCAGACACGTAAAATGGCTCCAAAACACCCAGCTCACTTACTGAGAGGGAACAGAGCTGTGAGTTAGCTCCAGCACTGCATTCACCCATATGGACTTACTGAAACAACCTGAGACCTGGGGCCATCAATGTGTCTGTGCTTCATGGTATTGACATTGCCAAACTGCTGGCCAGAGAGGGCAGCATCCAGCAGTGAAAAGAGGATGGTCAGCTCTGCTGGGAACAAATCGATGTTTGTTGGAGAGCTCTGGGAACACAGCAACCCCTGTCTGTTCCCCTGCCTTCTTAAGAAAAATTGCTGGAGATTATGCCTGTCAGCACACGAATGTTGTCTGCAGTCCACGAGCCTGGAACGCTCACAGCAGTGGTCCCAGCATCATCAGCCGTGGGTGAGGAACTCGGCAAAAGGGAGTACGAAGCAGATCAGGGTGTATGGAGCAGCAGCTGTTGTAAAGCTGAGCTCCAAGGGCAGAAAAGCCATCCGGGAGACTGTCAGCTTTGCACTAGTGCTTCATCCTCATTTTCTTATGGGGACTGATGGACAAAATTCCTGCCCTCTCCAGTGATACCATTTGATCTTTAGCTGGAAAAAAAACATTTTTTTTTTTTAGGAAAAGTTCAAGTCCAGTCCTAGAAATCGAAGGACAGGCTTTCCTGTGTTACCCTCTTCCCTCCAAAGACCCACAGACGGCCCTAGAGCAGACAGGTCTGAAGGGAAGGAGCTTACCCCTTTCCTGGTGTCTTTAGACACTGTCCTTGGTGTCTAAATTACTTCCTAAATTAATTGTTTATCTGGCCTGGAGAGGGTTTTATGTGTCAAATAACCCTGGAAAAAAGTATTCTGGGACAGTATGGGCTGAATAAGAGAGGAAAAACCTATAGCTGAGAGCAGTAATAAATGCACCATCTGTGACTGGGCAGAAAGAACATGTAAGGTGCACTGAACAGTCATTACACACTCATTTAATTCCCACATTAAGCCAGGAGTTCTCTGAACGATGGAGGACTAATTTCCTACCAATTTACATCCTGTATCTCTGCCTCACACTGCAGCAGTACCAGCTCCTTCCTGCACTGATTCTCCGAGGAACTGCATCACAGCGCTCTACCAACGTACAGCAAAGCTCAGTGCTGGCCCTTACAGGACGGGATGGTGATTGCCATTAAAAGAAAACTAAGTTTGCTCACTCAGGAGCACCAAGACATGTGTGTCCCTGTGTTTCCATCCAGCACTGAGGCAGTAACCAGCGTGTGTCCAGGCAGTCTGCCCAATTCCTTGCAGCGGCACAGAGGATGGACGTTGGACAAGTTGTCCTTGTTGGCTGTGGATGCACTTCTAGCTCAGGCCTCACCTATCCTCCCTGCACCCCTCCCTGTGGTCTCCTGCCCTTCCTCTGAAAGTCTTTCTCATCCACCTGGTTATGCCCATGCCCCAGCTCTGCAGCTCTAATTCCTCGGGACGGCCTTTCAAGGCAGCTGGGGGCTCAGGTCTAGACTGAGAGCCACGGGTGGGCACACCAGCTTACTGGGAGCAAAGGCAGAGGTGAAGGAAGGCCCTGGCAAGCAGCATGGGGACTTTGAGGACAAGAAGCTTTTCATCCACAGATAAAAAGCACCATGGGGGAAAGTCAAAACCAGACATCTACAAAGCTTTCCTCTTCTCTTTCCCATGAGCCCAGCTTGTTTCTTTTAAATGAGATCTCTGGCCAGCAATTCTTTTCTTAACTGAGGTTTTGCAGTGAGGCAGGGATTTGTCTCCCTACAAGCAGTGTGACGGCCAAAGCTGCCTCCCAGCACCTCCTGGCCCTGGGGAATCACACTGCTGCTTTCTCTTCTTTCACCCATCGTACTCCAAAGATTGATGCGCAGGAATGGGACAAGCTCTGACCACAAGCACAGCAGGCTGGTTCATCTGCTGGCTTCCCACAACGTGACTGCGCAGGAGGGGAATGCACAGGGACCAGGCAAAGGGCAGAGCAGGGCAGCAAAGTCTGGGCTATGTGGGGAAGCAGCACTGACTTCACCCCTTTTCCATAGAATCATAGAATAGCTTGGGTTGAAAGGGACCTTTCAAGGCCATCTAGTCCAACGCTCCTGCAGTAAGCAGGGACATCTTCAACTAAAGCAGGTTGCTCAGAGCCTCGTCCAACCTGACCTGGGATGTTGCCAGGGATGGGGCATCTACCACCTCTCCGGGCAACCGGTGGCTCACCACCATCGTTGTCAAAAATTTCTTCATTAGATCTAGTCTAAATCTGCCCTCCTTTAGTTTAAAACCATTAGCCCTTGTCCTGTCGCAACAGGCCCTGCTAAAAAGTCTGTCCTCATCTTTCTTAGAAGCCCCTTTCAGTCCTGGCAGGCTGCAGGAAGGTCTCCCTGGAGCCTTCTCTGCTCCAGGCTGAACCCCCCCAGCTCTCCCAGCCTCTCCTCCCCCCA